GCGGAACTCCGAGTTGGACACGCTGATCGCGAGCGCCAGCTGCACCTGGAACTCCTCCTCCGACGCGATGTAGTCCCCGGACCGATCGCCCCCCGCCGCCGCCGCCGGGGGCCGGCCCGGCGAGGCGGAGGGGCTGGGCGGGGCGTTCCCGGCGGGGGCCGCTGATCGGAGGAGGCGGGGGGCGCGTCGGCGACTGCTGCGCGGCCGCCGCGGCGGGGGCGGCGGCGGCGCCCCGGCGGCGGGGGTTGGGGGGTCGTTGGATCGGTTCGGGTCGTGGTTGTGCCCGATGTGGAGCTTCTTGAAAATGTGCTTCATCTACTCACACGAAACAAACTCTCTCTCTCTCTAGAATCGCTCTCGCTTCTCCCTCGATCGCCTTCCTTCTCTCTCTCTCTCTCTCTCTAGAATCGCTCTCACGCGCAGGTCTCCAACGTCTCCATCTCCGTCTTCTCCAGCTTCGCCATCGCTCTTTCTCTCTCTTGTTTCTCTCTCTTCTGTGCGCGTGCGCGTGCGTGGGGGGTACTTTGGAGAAGTCAAGGGGAGACGAGGCGGAGGGGAGGGAGGGAAAACTTAGCGGGGCTGCTTATTGGCTTGCGCGTGTACACGCACGGGCGGCGACGGGGCCTCGAGCGAACGGAACGGGGGGGGGGGGGGGGGGGGGGCTCTGGACTTCGGGGGAAATTACGAAACGGGGACTGGGCGACGGTGCCCCTGTTCCTCCACGCGTTCCCGTCGCGCCCGCTCTGCCAATGGCGGGGCTCCACGTGGTTTCACTCCTTATTTTTTTCGGGAGTGCGTGGGAAAAAGGAAAAGCGGAGGGGGCCGAATCAAAATCGGCCACGTGTCCCGCGGAGCATCAATTTCACGTCCCTTTCCTCCAAAAACTGATCACGGTATCCCAAAATTAAGGATTAATACTACAAAACTCATAAAACTGTTATATTTATGATAAATTTACTATTTATTAATTTTCATTAAATATTATAGTCAAATTGTTGAATTGGAAGACACGTGACAGTTGACAAATATACCGATTTAAGATTTTTCCCCGCTGCATGTCACGGATTTATCAGTTTGCGATTTTTCGTGGCATTAATCAAATTTAATAGATGACAAACATGTCGCGGGTATACCGATTTGAAATTTTTCGTGATATTAACCTCCAAATTAATTAACCCATGTGAATTTTCTTATTTCATTCGAAAAAAATTACGGAATTCTTCACACTGATTTGAGTCGATGAAAATGTTAAATTTTTTTTTACAAAACCTGAAAATAAGATATTAACAAAAAAATCGAAAATTTTAAAATCAAACGGTCGATGTTACCCCCAAATACCAGCATGATAGGCACGCATTGCAATTGTGCTGCAAGCAAAACCGTAATGTTGTCTAGCAATATAATGGAATGCGTTTTTCTTTCCTTTTAGCTTGTGTTAATGCCGATCTTTGCATGTTCAACGCGTGCGATGATACGAGAGAAATAAGGAAACATCCAAACGTGTCGTCCTTTTTTTTTTGTTTTCCTATTAGTATAACAAGTTAATGATTTCATCGCCATGTTAGCATGTAATGAACTAGTGTTATTAGTATTTGAGATTGTTTGGTGTAATGGTAATTATGGTGTAACCATGTTGTAGTTGCGGCACATGTATTTGGCAGGACACGTTCTAAAAAAACTAAACCGCCTTGAAGTTAGGTGGAGCAATTTTCACATAAACTGTTGTAAAGTTGCTGCAGCAATCTCGTCCAAACTCGACTCGAGCTCCCAGTATGAGGGCCGATTCCAACCACCATTTGGACCACCACACAATGGTGGCGATGGTTCATTGATACTTGCCTCCGGAATCCATCATTTGGTGGTCGCTCGGCCTTTGGTAAGAGTCTCCAGCATTCGCTCGTGGTGGAGGGGTGGCATCCGCCCCTCCCTCGGCTTACCAACACCTCGCGCCCTAACTTTTCTACATATTACTAAGAGAGCCAAAGTGTGTCATATTAGTTTTGTGCTGCCAAAGTCACATTTGTTTATTGATCGCACGTATCAAATCAAATAAATTGAGGGACTCAAAATCATAAAAAAGAAAAAAAAACCCTAATTGTACCTAAAGAAAAAGTTGGTAAACGATGATGTAGCTAAAGATTGAGTGCTCTAGGCTAGTGACCCCAAAACACCCTCTTGTTGAATTTAGCTTTGTGGTAGTCTGTGTATATTTGCTGTAAGGCATGGATGAAAAAAGGGGTGAAGAAAAAAAGAAACTTGCTTATGATAAATTGCCCAAACTAAAATAAAACTGTGAAAGACTTTTTCCATCAATTCATAAAAAAAAAAAAAAACCCCCTTTTCAAATTGACCCTGACATGTCATGATGACCCTCAATCTTTCCAATTCATACTGTTCCCCAAACTTCTAGAAAAGGTCAAATTTTCCACTCCAAATATTATGTCTTATTCCAGCTTATCCCCTCTTTACCTTTTCCTTTCCTTGTTTGTCAATGCATGTGATATTTGAGGGATTAAATGCAAATTCTGTACTAACAATTTCCTTGGAATAGAACATAAATGTACTGCAGAAAACAGGGTAAGCAATGAGTGAGAATTGAATAGGAGGGACTTGATTTTGATTAGGATCTCATGATGGTCATTGCACTTGAAGGCTCTTTGCATTTAAGCCACTTTTTAAATATGGTTTCTATGGTCCAAAGCATTTGAGCTTTAATTCATTCGAAATCGAATAGGTCCTGTTCTCCGATGAGTTTTCCGGCGAAGTGCAGATGGGCAACCGACGCCGTATAGCTGCTGTATCGGCAAAGATGTTGATGGAAAGATATTCACTAGAGAAACTTGGGGAAGGAGATTGATTGCAATCAGATGATGGTCCAGTGCCTTGGGCAATGCCAATTACTATCCAATCCCTCAAGTGATCTCTAAAGCTAACTACATGGGCCTCCAATGATATCCACCATCAAAATCCTCCTGTCTTTCTTAGTTCACTTGTGGTTCTCTTTTCTCTCTATAATTTAGATTTTCTTAGAGAGAGATATGAGTAATCCGTGGAGCTCATAATTTTCAAGCGTTGAGATGTACAGCATGCGCTGGGTAACAAATTCTTAATGCTTCTTCTATTTTGAGCCTCAAAATTTTTTTTTATTTGGACTGGGGTCCATTGGACCGTCGTCTCACACGGGCCCCATATTCCTAACTGCTAAAAATATCGTCTAATGATCCGTACAATCAATCTTACTGCATTCATCCTTACGAATTCCACAAAATCAATGGTTGTGATTGCGTTTCAACTCTAGATTCGCGTCCCACCAAGAAAATTCCGCGACATCAAGATGGTCCACCTAATGTCGGTGGAGAAGGAGGGTGGTGTTGGTGAGGTAGTGATCAGATGGTCCATCATCTGGAAACTTTTGGGGAGTGGTCATGCAACTCGTTCTTGCTTGGAAATCTCCCTTTGATTTAATTAACCCCTCTAGCCCAGGCTACTAAAATATATTGGTCACCGCAACTTTTAGGAAATGACTTTCTTGATCCCATAAAATAATTGTATCTCTTGCCAAATTTTCTATATGTTAAGTATGAACTTCGTGCCACTTTTGACTTCTAACCTTAGAACAAATCTATGTACACACTGGCCGTGCACATTGCACAGGATACGACAACTCGATGCATGTCGGTTTTCTGTACCAGAAAAAGAAACAACATTAATGTTTACGAAGGTCTCAAGGTCATATCATGAATATAGAAATAGTACATATGAATAATGATTAACCTAGAGGAAGAAGGCATCTGCATTTTACATTTTTGGGATAATGATACAAGCAGTCCCTGAATTTTAGTTTAATGTGTAATTTGATCTCTGAACTTTTAATTTGTTCAATGTAATCCCTAAATTTTAGGTTAATATTCAATGTGGTCCATGAACTTTTATTTTGTTTAATGTCATCCATGGACTTTTGGTATATATTCAATTCAGTCTCTGAATTATATGAAAATATTCAATGTAGTCCCTGAACTTGAATTAATGAAAATGACTGCATTGAACATGTACCAAAAGTGTAGGGATGACATTGAACAAATTAAAAGTTTAGGGACCACACTGAGCATTAGTCTAAAGTTCAGGGACTACATTGAACAAATTAAAAATTCATGGACCAAATTACACATTGGGCCAAAGTTCAGGGACTGGTTGTGTCATTTTCTCTATATTTTTAACCTGAAAATGAGCGATCGATGCGTTAAAAGGATCGTGTTTTTTTCTAACCCTAATTGGTAGAACCCGAGACTTATGATTATCGGATTACAAATATGGCATCGCCGATATTCATTTCTAGTCAAGTTTACATGTACGTGATTCCCCGATTAAGGACAGAGGAAAATATAGCTCTTTAACCAAGTATGATAATTTCTCTCCCACACATTACATGCATGTTACCCCCATGTCAGTATGTTTTCTTCCTTTCTCTTTTTTGACCCTCTCTCAATTTTCAAGGTTAAGGTTTCTGTTAAGAGAAAAAGAAAAGAAAGCACGTTGGGAATAGACATACTGACAAATTTGATTTACTAAATGATACGACAAGCTCTTCAAGTAAATTGGTCGAATATAATTACAGTATGTTGTATTACTCAATATATTAACTTTGTGAACTAGTCTTGATATCACGAGAAAAACTACTTGCAAGATGCGCAATATAAAGAACGACTTGTTAGAATATCATGCGTGTGACGAGACAACTCGATTTAGACCGTAATTCAATGCCATAAAAAAAAGGGCCTAACTTTCTTTCATGACCAGAAAGCCCTCTTTAGACAAGCAATTAAGTTTCTACTCCATCGCTTAGTCAAATAATTTTGTAAGGGAAAATGCCTTTTTTTTGGTGATTTCCTGTTGAACACACAATCTTCTTTAATAAAATTACACCATACTAAGGACACATCACTCTCTCAAGACTGAGACTATTATTTCATGCAAAACCAAAACATCATCACAACCCACCTTCACTGTATCTTCACCCAACTCCCCCGGCTTGGTATACCAGCATGCACCACAAACAACATGTAGTAGCCCGGTGGCGCTATTTCTGCCGTCGATGGCCCGACCGCAGTCAAGTTATACGAATCAGGTGTCAAGCGCGACACCCCGACCAACTTGAGCACCACCATTCTCTGGTTCATTGCCAGTGAATGTGTGGTGAATGAAGGAGCAACGATCCTAATGGACAGTATGTTCTCGGACAAGTACAGGGGCACAAAGAAGGTGAGCGAAAAGGGTTGCCCGAGCATTAGAATCTCGTTCATGGATAAAATCCGAGGCTGAAATGGTTTGTGCTCGATCGATAGATAAGGCGGCGAGAAGGCTTCTAAGCTTAAGTCGGTGGGATAGTCCACATCGGTGAAGTTGTAGTATCTATGTGGGTTGCTTCCTCCGACTAGCACTCTCCCATCCGCTAGCAAAATGGCTGTTGAGTGGTAGAGTCTCGGTCTTGGAGAAGCTGCCATGACCGAAAATCTCCAATCCGGGCTCCCGTTCGGCCGATAAATGACCGGTCTGGTCACCGGCGATTGGCCAAGCTCCCATCCGGCGGTGCCGCGTTCCACGCCGTTGATGATGATGACATCTCCAGTGGCTAGAAGAAGCATATCGCCCATAACCCTAGCAATTGGCATGTTTTCCATTACCCATCTAGGGTCTTCGTCCGAAACCCTAAGCCTCCCACACGAAGAACTTGCTCTCACGAAATTGCCTTGGCTCGCTTGTGTGAATGCACCTCTCGGTGCACCACCGCAAATCATGATCTCAGCTTCAACGGCCTTGTTCTCGTCGATAGGAAGCAAGACCGACGAGCCCGAGCTAGGATAATTTCGAGGATCGCTAATAGGGATTGGACGAAACTCTTTCACCACTCTGTTGTGGTTGTAATCTAGAGATATTGACCTTGTATTGGCAAAGATGAAGAGATTTCCATCAGGAAGAAGGTGAACAAAAGGGTATAGATTGTTCTCACTCTCATCTCTAGTTTCCAATAGAAATTGAAGCCAAAAAGACCCCGAGGAAGCAGAATAAGGGTCTTCATTTTTAGGGTAGAACTCATAGTTAAACTCCCTCCTCCCACCAATGATAATAATTCGACCATCCGGTAGAATTTGATTAGTGGCATACCATCTACGTTGAGATAAGTAACTAGGATACTCGACCCAATCGCATGAATCGGCATCGCATGGGGTAAATACCCGTACAGCGCGATCGCCGTCATTGAATCCTCCCGTCTGAATAAGAGAGCCATTCGGACTCATGGCGCCCGATGAGCACCATGTGTCGGTTTGCACCATGAGAGGACGAAAACTGTTCATCTCCACGTCGTATAGAACCGAGTGTGCAGTGCAGTCGACTTTCAGGGAAGTGTCATTGGAGTCGTAGCGGCAGCGGCCCCCCGGAAGAGAGAGGTTTGATGGGCCGAAGTCCGTCCTGTCGAACGCGACAACCTTGTTGTCGTGGAGGAGTTGCATGTGCATGGCCGAGATGCCGATGCTCGGTCGGAGGAGGCGCCACTCACCTTCTCGGCCATTGCGGAACGGCAATATTTCAGATGTGGTGATGAAAGGATGAAAGATGATGAGAAGTGAGAGCAGTGAAATAGGTACGAACAAGTTTGACATATTATTCTTTTGGTAGCACCAAGAGGGAGTGCTTTTGCAGGATCAAGTTTGGAAAATTATTGTTGAAAGTGTGTAGAGAGAGAAAGAGAGAGAGGCAGGATGAAAGTAAGGCAAGTTTAGGTAAAACTATGGATTAAATTAGCTGCATCTTGAAAAGGATTTAATAGTAAAAAATATTAGTGCTTTTCTTTTATTGTGAACAACTTTGAAAATGCTCTTGAAGTTTGAAGCGGAAATGGGGGAACAATGAAGAGATATCAAGTTCAAGAAATGTGATCCGCATTATTAGACGACCTTGAAATCATTCATTTCATGCCTTTAAAAAATTTCAGGCAAGAGTATGATGTCCTAAGTAATGTCCATGAAGAAACAATTTAACAAGATCCAATCAAGCATCAACTATCATGATATTGCGTTTGTTTCGAGAAAAAATAAATTATTTGAAAAAATTTCTAATTAAACAATTGCTTTCATTTCTTACAAAAATGAATGAACGACAAATATTATCATCGTCCACGAAAATGTTTAGACGTAAATTAGTTGTTGATAACGAAAATGTTTCTTATTGACTAATTATTTTAAATGATAAAAGCTATCACTTTTAGGAAAATATTTCCAAATCATTTATTTTTCGCGAAATGAACGAAGCCTTGAAGTGCTTCAAGCCATGAAAGATCGATCATATAATTCACCGATGATGAAAACTTATCCCGACCTAACTAATCAATAATTTTGTTGTGCAATTCAATCCGTTTTTACATGTTTTATTTTCCTAATAACCATGTTTATTTCCCCCAAATATTTAGCGAGAACAAGTAAACGGATTCACTCATTAATCACCACTTGTCCTAAACTCCTAATCATCATACGATTATCCTCTCTTATGAACCACCAATGGGACTGACAATTCCCCAAGTCCCGGAGCACCAATCATGCCGATCTCCGAAGCTGCCACGTGTCTCAACCTGCATGTCCCATGCAGCGACGTTCATACGTATATATAGCCATCTACGTATCTCCAATCTCTCTTCTTTCTTTTCACTATAGAGAAACACAATCAAAACACAGCATTAGAAGCAAAGCAACTGTTCATAGAGTAAAGTCCGGTTCTTCCAAAGAAGTTTCACTCAAAGATGAGCCAAGAGCAGCCGAGGAGGGCTCCGGAGGACACGGTCAAGTACGGCGACATCTTCGCCATCGGCGGCGAGCTCGCGGAGGAGCCGGTCATGCCCAGGGACGCGGCGATGATGCAGACGGCGGAGAGCGAGATGTTTGGCCAGATCCAGAAGGGCCGCGCAGCAGCCGCCATGCAGTCGGCGGCGGCGCGCAACGAGAGGGCCGGCCTCGTGGGCCACAGCGACATGACCGAGGTCGCCGGCAAAGACGGAGTGACCATCACCGAGACCGATCTCCCCGGCCAGCGTGTGATAACCGAGTCCGTCGGCCGACAGGTTTGACGAGTTGCAACTTATTCCACGCGTCCAAATTCAATTGATTTTGAAGATTAGTCTTAGCCTAGAGTTTGTCTGGTGTGCTAAATGTTCAGTTATAGACATGTTGCATTTGTACATGATCATATGTATATCTATCATGGTAATGCTGTAAACGAAGTAAATCTTGGGCTAGTCAACATTATGTTCGATGATTTTTTTTATATCTCGCGATGAGATGATATCGGGCATTTGATCTCGCTCGTCGCACCATCTTTTAGCAGGTTGTCAATCAATACAGCCGACGTTCTCCCATCCCGACGATGACGCCATCCTCGATCTATCAGACCGATGCCAGTAAGGACGGTGTCGGTCCTATCACCATCGGCGAGGCACTCGAGGCCGCTGCTCTGACGGCCGGGCAGAAGCCCGTGGAATGGAGCGACGCCGCCGCGATCCAGGCAGCAGAGGTCAGGGCCACGGGCCGCACCGCCATAGTTCCCGGCGGAGTCGCCGCTGCCGCTCAGTCGGCCGCAAATCTCAATGCTAGGACTCCTAGAGCTGAGGACAAGACCACATTGGCCGACATTCTGGGGGTATAATTACTAGAAATCTTCCCATTTCTCTTGCAAGTTAATCAGCAAGATAGGTACTGCATTTGCCCAGAAGGAAAAAGGAGGCAGTACATCAATCTAGAGGCCAAATTAAATCAAATGAACCCTCTTCTTTATGCTCAATCCTTACCTTTGTTTTGAGCCACAATGGAGTTATAAGCTCCAAATCAGCTTCTTTGTCTTGTTGATCTTTGTTTTGTCTTGTATCAATCAAAGTACACACAATGTGTGACAGCAATTCCCTTGCAGGATGCAACTTCCAAGTTGCCATCAGATAAACCGGCGTCGCGTCGAGACGCGGAGGGAGTGGCCAGCGCTGAGATGAGGAATGACCCGAATTTGAATACTCATCCTGCAGGCATTGCGGCCTCGGTGGCGGCGGCGGCGAGACTGAATCAGAAAAAGTGATTGGTGTGCGAGATGATTTAACAATTAATACGTTCGGGTCACACCCCCGCATCTTATGATAGGGTTAAGGTTTTGTTGTCGTTGCCCTTTGAAATGCTCTTTCTTATCCTTGTTTTGCTGTTTGTACTCCCTCGATGGATATGCAGATTGCCCTTAAGATGGGCAAGCGTTGTGTCTTTGTTCAGCCAGATTAGTTTGTGCTTTATCCAATGTGGAAATGCATCCCCCAAGTTTTAGAATGTGCTTCAGACCATAGTGAAATTCATCAGAAAATACATGAACGTTATAGACAGTTCAAAAGGTACAATCAAATTCACGCTACAAAGAGATAACTTAGGAAAATTGTCCAGAAAGTCTTAAACCTATAGTATAATGGCCAATTCAATCATAAACCTATTAATTGCGCCAATTCAGTCCTAAAATTTTTGATGATTTGCCAATATAGATCTTTCGATCAATTTTATCAAATTTTGCTTATGTGGATAATGACAGTCTAAGGTGACATGACTAGTGCTAACGTGAATTATTTTTGCAAATTTTTTTTAAAGTTTTTGAATTTTTTTATTTTTTTCCTTTTTCATTTTTTTTCGTATTTCCCTTGGTTAGTCTTCGAGCCTCAACGATGGCCAGTAGGGATGAGAATCGGTCTTGGACCGACCCTGGACCAGCCTAACCCGGCCGGTCCTAGTCCAGTTCCTAAGGGGTCTGGGTCAATCCTTGGTCTTGGGATCCATGGACCCTACACTGTGTAGGTTGGTCCTCAGTCTTAGGAGTTTAGGGTTGGTCCGGGTTAGACCAACCTTGTATATATTATTATATATCATATATATTATACATTATATGCTTTTATCTATTCTAAATCCTAGCGTCTCCTCTTCTATTGTCTTATTTCTTATGCAGTTCAGTTTGCTGTTTAAACAGAAAGTATAAAGAAACCCAGCTCTACTTCAGCCAACAAATAGAAAACCTCTTAGCTCGTCTCTGCCTATCTCAACCGCCTCGCCGCTTGCCTCTCTTTGCTTGCCTCACTCGCCTTACCTCTCACCTTTGTTCACTCGCCTCTCCGCTCGCCTTACAAGCGCAACTCAGTTGGACAAATATACTTTGTTAAGTATTAATTATGTGTGTTGTTTATTTTGTTTTTAGGTGTTCGGAAGTTGAAGCGATCATTTGAGAATGAACAAAATATGAAGTTATATAATTCATGGTTTATATTATGTATTTTGAACTTCTCATGGTTTAATTGTATGTCACGTGTTCGTTTTCTTGGTTTGTTGCTTTTAGCAAGTGTGAATTTTATGTTGTTATGTACTGGTGTTCATAATTTGGTTGTTCAATGTCACATTGTTGATGGATATGTAATTTGAAATAGTATATCTGTCTTTTCAAGGAATACAAAAAATGAAACAAAAAATAATCAATTAATCCCAGGTTGACCCTAGAACCGGACTGGACCCATAGGGTCGATGTGGTCCTCGATCCCAAGCTCAACAGGGTCGGTCCTCGATCCCAAAAATTGGGGACCAACACTGTGCGGGTTGATTCTTGGGTTAGGTGTTGGACCGACCCAACCCGGACCATGCTCACCCCTAATGGCCGGCGAAGGTTGCTGGTCGCTAGTGAAGGTCAGGACAACATCACCTCATCAATGGCCGGCAACCTCACCCGGCCATTGCCGAGGCCTACCAACCGATGGAGGAAAATAAGGAAAAAAAAGTAAAAAAATAGAAAGGAAAGTAAAATATTCATAATTCTTTTTAAAAATTGTAAAAAACGTCCACGCCAATATTGGTTGTGCCACGTACGACGGCCTGCGATTTCCGACCAAAATTAGCCGGAACACTATATTGACAAATCGTTAAAATGTTTAAGATTACATTGCTAAATCGTCAAAATGTTTAGCTAAATTGATACAATTAAAATGTTTAGGACTATATTCGCCGCCATACAATAAATTTAGGACTTTTTGAGCAATTACCATAAGGTACCTCTGGCATCCAAGCAGACAGCATTTCCTATAACTCGGATTCCTCGAAAACCAAACAGTACTTGAATTATCGGAGTCAAACTAATCTAGGCCTTTTTAATTTCATAAAACACGTGAGCGGTTGAGTGAATGACTTGGACTAATCAGTTGAAAACTGAAACTCAAGTTTTAGGTGAAGTATAGCTTATTAAACAAAATGCCAAGATCAAAGGTTTTCCAACCACGGATTGAATCGCCAAATTCAATCGAAGGTTTGACTAATCATTCAGGACGTACCAAAAGTCACCGGAGAACAAAGATCCACGAGTTTCGTTTTCAATAAAACAATGCAATTCAACAGACTTAAAGTGACAGATTCGAGTCAATAATCATTTCACTCGTTTGTTTAAAACTAACTTATTGAAATTGATCGATTGAAAATAATTAATCAATGAAAAATATTTTCATTATCGACAACGATTTAATTCTAAACATTTTCGTAGACGATGGAAATATTTTTCGTTCGTTCATTTTTGTAAGCGACACAAGCGATCGTTTTCATGAAAACGTTTTCCAAGTCATTCACTTTTCGCAAAATAAAGGAAGCCGAAATCAATAGTTTTAATAACCAATGCCGTAGAAGACTGAGAAAAATTGAACTTTATGCGAAAAATCTCTCTCAAGACTCATGCACCATTTTTTCCTATTGCATTAAAAACTTCTTCAAAACGACATAAATCAAAGAAAAAGTTAAGTGGTCAAGGGCTTTCCGCTCAACTGTGTTCACATTATACGAACTAGAACAGGTAAACTAACTAAGATTTCAATATCTTGAGTAGAGGAAGCTATAAAATGGAGCATGACAGTCACAAACAATAGATCAACCAATAAAAAAGCCTATGCTCATTTAATTTTGAGGCCATCAATAATCAATATGACATTACAGGCAATAGAGCAACCAATACAAAACCATGCTCTGATTGAATTGAAGGCACCAAAATATACATGTTTCTATATGATACCACGGTACAACATGCAGATTTGGGCACACATGGCCAGAAACGGGGAGAAATCCTGACCTAAAGAAAGCTCCACGAAAAAATCCAGATGTGCTCGGTGATGTCATTGAGGGGTTAGTCCGGTCAAGGCTTGAAACTTTCCGAGAGCAAGTTCCTCAGCAATAAGCCTTAGGAGCACCTGCACTAGCTCCCTTACTCTAGATTCCCTGCATGCGGAATGGTGCAGAAGTCGATGTTTCAGAATTCGGGTTAATCTATTTGTTACCGGCATGTGGACCAGCACATTGTGTAGTTTGCATGTGTATCTTAATGCATGTGGTTGCAGCTAGATGCTTCACCATGCAAGAGAAAGCGAAGTACACATAAAGGGGAGTATTCAGGTGAAAAAATGGAAACTACAGAATTCTAAACAATGTTAATCTTTCGAGATTCTCTGTACATTCATCTCTCAGAACTTAGAAGCGAGCACAAAAAAACCCCTAAGATTATCGAGAATATTAGATGATAGACTAGCTCGTGATTTGATTTGTGTTTCCCCTCTAGATCAATGTAAAGAATCTGCATTCTTTAAGATTTACATGATGCGTCCCTCCCATGTGGCTAGACTCGCAGGCAGTGATATTTTGCATGCAAAATGATGAAGTTTACATCACTAATAAATTTCAATGCCATTAGACTAAGTCATGCATTGCCATGCACATATTCAAAACTATATCCATGCACTTCGCAAGACAATTAATTGATGAGGAAAGAAGGCTCTATGATGCATATTAAGAGCAGTCAACCATAATTCCCGGCTACTTCTACACATATAGGATGCTTCGTAGGAGTCTCTCACCTTGATGCAACAAGTTCACAAAAAGATGGGAAAAGAACAAGAAGATGGGCGCGTCGGTTATAGTCGTCATCTGCCCCTAGGCCCCTTCTCAAGTGAGGATGTAAAGGAAGCTCGCATACTGTCTCTTTGTGGATTACAAGACGTGCCAATTGTCGAAGGACATAAATCATCTCTTCCAACCTAGCTGTGGGCAGTGGACGTTCACCTGCACAAACAAAGCCAAGTTATCAGATACCCAAATAAAAGTGAGATTCCACATATTTACAAGTAGGCTGAGTATCACGAATCACGCACCCAAGTCATTTTCATCAATAAGAAACCTATTCAAAATATACTCGCATCTAGCCATCAAGACCATGATTGATTTTTTACTGATGTCGGATGTTATTGAGCTCCAATTGCTAGCTTCACTGTCGTAACTGACAAGAAAACAAAAGTGTTAGTACATGAGCAGCTTGCAATATACATTGAACTGGCCACTTTAGATCATGTAGTCTTGCCAAAGCCACATAACATCGAAGTCCTCTGAAAGGGGAAGCCATAATCATATCAGATAGCACTCTTGAATGGAAACCTTGAAGGAAAGAGTCTCAATTATTGTGCACAATTTTATCAGCATATGGTGATTTCATGAGTTGCAGCTTTGAGTTGGAAGTGGAGAGACATTTTGCATGAATATATCAGTAAACAATCTCATCAAGAGAAACTTAGAGATGACTCAATAACACCGGTATGAGGACACGGAAGGTGCCTCTTCATAAACGACAGACTGATCACATGCTGCAAGGAAAAAACTCTAAACAGGAAACACTACCTTACCTGGCCAAGGAAAATAACTTTTCCAAACAAGTCAAGGAAAATCTGCTAGAATGAAGAGGCATCAGTTCCACTGTATCAATAGGCAAAGTGCATGTGCGTGATGCACATCGATCCAAGGTGGATACTAGTCTTTGCAATATCTGTATAAATTATAAAAGAAAATATTACCAACAGAATAGAGCTCCATGGAGCACAACTGATAGCTCTCACATATTTGGTGAATAATGATTAAAATGACAAAAAGAGAAGACAAAAATGTTCTAGAGATTTCAATCTAAAACTACCAGTTAGGGGGTCATCTCACATGGCATTAAAAGTGGAGCCAACTTTAGCTGCTTGAAAAAAATAACCATACCCATAACCACAAACACAAAAAAAAAAATTACAAATTAACAGAAACCCAAATTGAAAAAGAAAAGGTAAACATTCCAGTACCTAAATAGTTGTTCAACTGAAAGAATTTAATGGAAGAGTTTCAAAATAATGATATGAACCACGCTAGTTGAGGGCAATAGAAATAATAAACTAGAACAGATCTCGAATTTTATATTAAGCTTCATGATAGAAGCGACTCTGTCACCAGGATTGAAGCTTCAG